CTCGGCAGGGACGAGGCTGGAGCGCTTATCCTCAACCAATAAGGGGTCCCAGGTGCGAAAGCGGAGGCGGGGACGAGGCCGGAGCGCTTATCCTCGACCAACGTGGAGTCCCAGGTACGCGATCTCGGCCCGAAGAAGGTGAAGGTGGGGACGAGGGCGGAGCACTTATCCTCAACCGATATGGGCTCCTAGGTGCGTGCCCTACCGCAGCGTGCATCAGTGCCAGGTGCTTGAAGCAAGAAGAAGGCGAGCTTCAAGAGGAGGCGACAACAAGCTCGAAGGACTTACTCTCAGAATACGTTCTCGGCGCGTGGTCTCAACCTGAAGAAGACAGAGGCGGCGACAAGGCCGGATCGCCTATCCTCAACTGTCATGGGTTCCCAGGTTCGTGGTGTGGAGAGAACAGAAGCCGAGACCAGGCCGGAGTGCCTATCCTCAATCAATATGGGGTCCCAGGTGCGCGGTCTCAACTTGAAGAGGATGGAGGCGGGAACCAGGCCGGAGCACTTCTCCTCAACCAATATCGGGTCCGAGGTGCGTGGTCTCAACTCGAACAGGAAGGAGGCGAGGAGAGGCCGGAGTGCCTATCCTCAACCAAGATAGGGTCCCAGGTGCATGGTTTCATCTTGGAGAAAAGAGAAAGGACGAGGCCTCAACCAATATGAGGTCCGAGGTGCGTGACCCCAGCAAAAAGACGACGGAGGCAAGGACAAGGCAGGGGTTCGAAGTGCGTGGCCCCAGGAAGCTCAAGCTGAAGAAGACAGAGGTAAGAACGAGGCCGGGAGGGCTTATCCTCAACCAATATAAGTTTCCGAGGCAAGGACAAGGCCGGGAGGGCCCATCCTCAACCAACATGGGGTTCCGAGGTGTGGAAGTTCAAGCTGAAGAAGACACAGGTAGGGACAAGGGCGGGGGGGGGCTCATCCTCAACCAGTATGGGTTTCCGAGGCGTGGAAGCTCAAGCTGAAGAAGGGCAAGGACAAGGCCGGGAGGGTGTATCATCAACCAATATGGGTTTCCAAGACGTGGGGTCTCAAGCTGCAGAAGCGCAAAGACAAGGCCGGGAGGGTTTATCCTCAACTAGTACGGGTTTCCGAGGCGTGGAAGCTCACAAGTCGAAGAAGACAGAGGCAAGGATAAGGCCGGGAGGGTTTATACTCAACCGATGTGGGTTTCCGGGGTATGGAAGCTCCAGCCGAAGAAGACAGAGGCAGAGACAAGGCGGGAAGGCTTATCCTCAACCGGTATGGAGTTCCGAGGTGTGGAAGCTCAAGCCGAAGAAGACAGAGGCAAGGACAATCCAAGGTATGGAAGCTTGAGCCTCAACCAATGTGGTTGCCGAGGTGTGTGGTCTCAGCGACAAGGCCGAGAGAACAATCCTCAACTAAAATGGGGTGTGGGGTCTTCCCCCGCCCCCCCTCCCCCTGAGCGCCCTCCCCCCTCCTCCTGGGGCGGGAGGGTAGTGGGCAGACACCAAAAAACAATCCTCAACTGGGGTGTTGGTTCCCACCCCTCCCCGGCCCCCTCCCCACCCTCCCCCCTTCCCTCCCCCTCCCCACCCGGTGCCTCCTCCGGGGGGTGGCACGAGTCTCACGGGGGGTAGTGGGCAGACACCAAAAAACAATCCTCAACTAAAATGGGGTGTGGCCCCCCGCACCCCTCCCCGGCCCCCTCCCCCACCCTCCCCCCTTCCCTCCCCCTCCCCACCCGGTGCCTCCTCCGGGGGGGTGGCACGAGTCTCACGGGGGGTAGTGGGCAGACACCAAAAAACAATCCTCAACTAAAATGGGGTGTGGGTTCCCCTTCCCCCGCACCCCTCCCCCCCCTCCCTGCCCCCCCCCCACCCGGTGCCCCCTCCGGAGGGTCCCCCCCCTCCCTCCCCCCCTTCCCTCCCCCGCTCCCTTCCCTCCCCCTCGCTCTGCCCCTCCCACCCCCCCTCCCAAACCCGCTCACTTAGACCGCTACCTGCGTGGAGTGCCTGGTGCGTATCCTCAAGAAGAAAAAGGCCGGGAGCGGGAACGAAGCCGTGCAGGCTCGCCTGCATGGTGTCCCAGGTACGTGGTCCCAACCCCAAGAAGACCGAAGTGAGGAGGTGAGCGCTGATTATCCTCAACCAATGTGGGGTCCCAGGTGCGTGGTCTCAGTCGACGAAGGCGGAGGCAGGGACGAGGCCGGAGCACTTATCCTCACCCAATATGGGGTCCCAGGTGCGTGGTCTCAGCCCGAAGAAGGCGACGAGGCCGGAGCGCGTTTCCTCAACCAATATGTTCCAGGCGCGTGCTCGGAGGCGGGAGCGCTTATCCTCAACCAATATGGGGTCCCAGGTGCGTGCTCTCGCGGACCAGGCCGGCGCAATATGGGGTTCCCGGCGCGTGGTCTCAGCCCGAAGAAGGCGGAGGCGGGGACGAGGCCGGAGCTGGGGTCCCAGGTGCGTGCTCGGCAGGGACGAGGCCGGAGGGGACGAGGCCGGAGCGCTTATCCTCGACCAACGTGGAGTCCCAGGTACGCGATCTCGGTGAAGGTGGGGACGAGGGCGGAGCACTTATCCTCAACCGATATGGGGTCCTAGGTGCGTGCCCTACCGCAGCGTGCATCAGTGCCAGGTGCTTGAAGCCAGAAGAAGGCGAGCTTCAAGAGGAGGCGACAACAAGCTCGAAGGACTTACTCTCAGAATACGTTCCCGGCGCGTGGTCTCAACCTGAAGAAGACAGAGGCGGCGACAAGGCCGGATCGCCTATCCTCAACTGTCATGGGTTCCCAGGTTCGTGGTCTGGAGAGAACAGAAGCCGAGACCAGGCCGGAGTGCCTATCCTCAATCAATATGGGGTCCCAGGTGCGCAGTCTCAACTTGAAGAGGATGGAGGCGGGAACCAGGCCGGAGCACTTCTCCTCAACCAAAACCGGGTCTGAGGTGCGTGGTCTCAACTCGAACAGGACGGAGGCGAGGAGAGGCCGGAGTGCCTATCCTCAACCAAGATAGGCTCCCAGGTGCATGGGTTCATCTTGGAGAAAAGAGAAAGGACGAGGCCTCAACCAATATGAGGTCCGAGGTGCGTGACCCCAGCAAAAAGACGACGGAGGCAAGGACAAGGCCGGGGTGCGAAGTGCGTGGCCCCAGGAAGCTCAAGCTGAAGAAGACAGAGGTAAGAACGAGGCCGGGAGGGCTTATCCTCAACCAATATAAGTTTCCGAGGCAAGGACAAGGCCGGGAGGGCCCATCCTCAACCAACATGGGGTTCCGAGGTGTGGAAGTTCAAGCTGAAGAAGACACAGGTAGGGACAAGGCCGGGGGGGGGGCTCATCCTCAACCAGTGGAAGCTCAAGCTGAAGAAGGGCAAGGACAGCTCAAGCTGAAGAAGGGCAAGGACAAGGCCGGGAGGGTGTATCATCAACCAATATGGGTTTCCAAGACGTGGGGTCTCAAGCTGCAGAAGCGCAACGACAAGGCCGGGAGGGTTTATCCTCAACTAGTACAGGTTTCCGAGGCGTGGAAGCTCACAAGTCGAAGAAGACAGAGGCAAGGATAAGGCCGGGAGGGTTTATACTCAACCGATGTGGGTTTCCGGGGTATGGAAGCTCCAGCCGAAGAAGACAGAGGCAGAGACAAGGCGGGAAGGCTTATCCTCAACCGGTATGGGGGTCCGAGGTGTGGAAGCTCAAGCCGAAGAAGACAGAGGCAAGGACAATCCAAGGTATGGAAGCTTGAGCCTCAACCAATGTGGTTGCCGAGGTGTGTGGTCTCAGCGACAAGGCCGAGAGAACAATCCTCAACTAAAATGGGGTGTGGGGTCTTCGTACGGGTTTCCGAGGCGTGGAAGCTCACACATCGAAGAAGACAGAGGCAAGGATAAGGCCGGGAGGGTTTATACTCAACCGATGTGGGTTTCCGGGGTATGGAAGCTCCAGCCGAAGAAGACAGAGGCAGAGACAAGGCGGGAAGGCTTATCCTCAACCGGTATGGGGTTCCGAGGCGTGGAAGCTCAAGCCGAAGAAGACAGAGGCAAGGACAATCCAAGGTATGGAAGCTTGAGCCTCAACCAATGTGGTTGCCGAGGTGTGTGGTCTCAGCGACAAGGCCGAGAGAACAATCCTCAACTAAAATGGGGTGTGGGGTCTTCCCCCCGCCCCCCCTCCCCCTGAGCGCCCTCCCCCCTCCTCCTGGGGCGGGAGGGTAGTGGGCAGACACCAAAAAACAATCCTCAATTGGTTCCCACCCCTCCCCGGCCCCTCCCCCACCCTCCCCCCTTCCCTCCCCCTCCCCACCCGGTGCCTCCTCCGGGGGGTGGCACGAGTCTCACGGGGGGTAGTGGGCAGACACCAAAAAACAATCCTCAACTAAAATGGGGTGTTGGTTCCCACCCCTCTCCGGCCCCCTCCCCCACCCTCCCCCCTTCCCTCCCCCTCCCCACCCGGTGCCTCCTCCGGGGGGGTGGCACGAGTCTCACGGGGGGTAGTGGGCAGACACCAAAAAACAATCCTCAACTAAAATGGGGTGTGGGGCTCCCCCGCACCCCTCCCCACCCTCCCCCCCCACCCGGTGCCCCCTCCGGAGGGTCCCCCCCCTCCCTCCCCCCCTTCCCTCCCCCGCTCCCTTCCCTCCCCCTCGCTCTGCCCCTCCCATCCCAAACCCGCTCACTTAGACCGCAACCAGCGTGGAGTGCCAGGTGCGTATCCTCAAGAAGAAAAAGGCCGGGAGCGGGAACGAAGCCGTGCAGGCTCGCCTGCATGGTGTCCCAGGTACGTGGTCCCAACCCCAAGAAGACCGAAGTGAGGAGGTGAGCGCTGATTATCCTCAACCAATGTGGGGTCCCAGGTGCGTGGTCTCAGTCGAAGAAGGCGGAGGCAGGGACGAGGCCGGAGCACTTATCCTCACCCAATATGGGGTCCCAGGTGCGTGGTCTCAGCCCGAAGAAGGCGACGAGGCCGGAGCGCTTATCCTCAACCAATATGTTCCAGGCGCGTGCTCGGAGGCGGGAGCGCTTATCCTCAACCAATATGGGGTCCCAGGTGCGTGCTCTCGCGGACCAGGCCGGCGCAATATGGGGTTCCAGGCGCGTGGTCTCAGCCCGAAGAAGGCGGAGGCGGGGACGAGGCCGGAGCTGGGGTCCCAGGTGCGTGCTCGGCAGGGACGAGGCCGGAGCGCTTATCCTCAACCAATAAGGGGTCCCAGGTGCGAAAGCGGAGGCGGGGACGAGGCCGGAGCGCTTATCCTCGACCAACGTGGAGTCCCAGGTACGCGATCTCGGCCCGAAGAAGGTGAAGGTGGGGACGAGGGCGGAGCACTTATCCTCAACCGATATGGGGTCCTAGGTGCGTGCCCTACCGCAGCGTGCATCAGTGCCAGGTGCTTGAAGCCAGAAGAAGGCGAGCTTCAAGAGGAGGCGACAACAAGCTCGAAGGACTTACTCTCAGAATACGTTCTCGGCGCGTGGTCTCAACCTGAAGAAGACAGAGGCGGCGACAAGGCCGGATCGCCTATCCTCAACTGTCATGGGTTCCCAGGTTCGTGGTCTGGAGAGAACAGAAGCCGAGACCAGGCCGGAGTGCCTATCCTCAATCAATATGGGGTCCCAGGTGCGCGGTCTCAACTTGAAGAGGATGGAGGCGGGAACCAGGCCGGAGCACTTCTCCTCAACCAATATCGGGTCCGAGGTGCGTGGTCTCAACTCGAACAGGACGGAGGCGAGGAGAGGCCGGAGTGCCTATCCTCAACCAAGATAGGGTCCCAGGTGCATGGTTTCATCTTGGAGAAAAGAGAAAGGACGAGGCCTCAACCAATATGAGGTCCGAGGTGCGTGACCCCAGCAAAAAGACGACGGAGGCAAGGACAAGGCCGGGGTTCGAAGTGCGTGGCCCCAGGAAGCTCAAGCTGAAGAAGACAGAGGTAAGAACGAGGCCGGGAGGGCTTATCCTCAACCAATATAAGTTTCCGAGGCAAGGACAAGGCCGGGAGGGCCCATCCTCAACCAACATGGGGTTCCGAGGTGTGGAAGTTCAAGCTGAAGAAGACACAGGTAGGGACAAGGCCGGGGGGGGGCTCATCCTCAACCAGTATGGGTTTCCGAGGCGTGGAAGCTCAAGCTGAAGAAGGGCAAGGACAAGGCCGGGAGGGTGTATCATCAACCAATATGGGTTTCCAAGACGTGGGGTCTCAAGCTGCAGAAGCGCAACGACAAGGCCGGGAGGGTTTATCCTCAACTAGTACGGGTTTCCGAGGCGTGGAAGCTCACAAGTCGAAGAAGACAGAGGCAAGGATAAGGCCGGGAGGGTTTATACTCAACCGATGTGGGTTTCCGGGGTATGGAAGCTCCAGCCGAAGAAGACAGAGGCAGAGACAAGGCGGGAAGGCTTATCCTCAACCGGTATGGGGTTCCGAGGTGTGGAAGCTCAAGCCGAAGAAGACAGAGGCAAGGACAATCCAAGGTATGGAAGCTTGAGCCTCAACCAATGTGGTTGCCGAGGTGTGTGGTCTCAGCGACAAGGCCGAGAGAACAATCCTCAACTAAAATGGGGTGTGGGGTCTTCCCCCCGCCCCCCCTCCCCCTGAGCGCCCTCCCCCCTCCTCCTGGGGCGGGAGGGTAGTGGGCAGACACCAAAAAACAATCCTCAACTGAAATGGGTGTTGGTTCCCACCCCTCCCCGGCCCCCTCCCCCACCCTCCCCCCTTCCCTCCCCCTCCCCACCCGGTGCCTCCTCCGGGGGGGTGGCACGAGTCTCACGGGGGGTAGTGGGCAGACACCAAAAAACAATCCTCAACTAACAACCCGCTCACTTAGACCGCAACCAGCGTGGAGTGCCAGGTGCGTATCCTCAAGAAGAAGAAGGCCGGGAGCGGGAACGAAGCCGTGCAGGCTCGCCTGCATGGTGTCCCAACCCCAAGAGACCGAAGTGAGGAGGTGAACGCTGATTATCCTCAACCAATGTGGGGTTCCAGGTGCGTGGTCTCAGTCGAAGAAGGCGGAGGCAGGGACGAGGCCGGAGCACTCATCCTCAACCAATATGGGGTCCCAGGTGCGTGGTCTCAGCCCGAAGAAGGCGACGAGGCCGGAGCGCTTATCCTCAACCAATATGTTCCAGGCGCGTGCTCGGAGGCGGGAGCGCTTATCCTCAACCAATATGGGGTCCCAGGTGCGTGCTCTCGCGGACCAGGCCGGCGCAATATGGGGTTCCAGGCGCGTGGTCTCAGCCCGAAGAAGGCGGAGGCGGGGACGAGGCCGGAGCTGGGGTCCCAGGTGCGTGCTCGGCAGGGACGAGGCCGGAGCGCTTATCCTCAACCAATAAGGGGTCCCAGGTGCGAAAGCGGAGGCGGGGACGAGGCCGGAGCGCTTATCCTCGACCAACGTGGAGTCCCAGGTACGCGATCTCGGCCCGAAGAAGGTGAAGGTGGGGACGAGGGCGGAGCACTTATCCTCAACCGATATGGGGTCCTAGGTGCGCGCCCTACCGCAGCGTGCATCAGTGCCAGGTGCTTGAAGCCAGAAGAAGGCGAGCTTCAAGAGGAGGCGACAACAGGCTCGAAGGACTTACTCTCAGAATACGTTCTCGGCGCGTGGTCTCAACCTGAAGAAGACGGAGGCGGCGACAAGGCCGGATCGCCTATCCTCAACTGTCATGGGTTCCCAGGTTCGTGGTCTGGAGAGAACAGAAGCCGAGACCAGGCCGGAGTGCCTATCCTCAAGCAATATGGGGTCCCAGGTGCGCGGTCTCAACTTGAAGAGGATGGAGGCGGGAACCAGGCCGGAGCACTTGTCCTCAACCAATATCGGGTCCGAGGTGCGTGGTCTCAACTCGCACAGGACGGAGGCGAGGAGAGGCCGGAGTACCTATGCAAGGACAAGGCTGGGAGGGCCCATCCTCAACCAACATGGGGTTCCGAGGTGCGGAAGTTCAAGCGGAAGAAGACACAGGTAGGGACACGGCCGGGGGGGGGGCTCATCCTCAACCAGTATGGGTTTCCGAGGCGTGAAAGCTCAAGCTGAAGAAGACAGGGGCAGGGACAAGGCCGGGAGGGCTCATCCTCAACCAATATGGGGTTCCGAGGTGGGGAAGTTCAAGCTGAAGAAGACAGAGGCAGGGACAAGGCCGGGGGTGAGCCATCCTCAACCAATATGGGTTTCCGAGGCGTGGAAGCTCAAGCTGAAGAAGGGCAAGGACAAGGCCGGGAGGGTTTATCATCAACCAATATGGGTTTCCAAGACGTGGCGTCTCAAGCTGCAGAAGCGCAACGACAAGGCCGGGAGGGTTTATCCTCAACCAGTATGGGTTTCCGAGGTGTGGAAGCTCACAAGTCGAAGAAGACAGAGGCAAGGCCGGGAGGGCTTATCCTGAAACCAATGGGTTTCCGAGGCGTGGAAGCTCAAGCTGAAGAAGAATATCCTCAACCAATATGGGTTTCCGAGGCGTGGAAGCTCAAGCTGAAGGAGACGGAGGCAAGGACAAGGCCGGGAGAGCTTCTCCTCAACCAATATGGGTTTCCGAGGCGTAGAAGCTCAAGCTGAAGAAGACAGAGGCAAGGACAAGGCCGGGACTGCGAGGCTTGGGCTAAAGCTCCGAACAAGGCTTGGGTATATAGAGTTTTAGAGGACAGTTTACTGAGACCTCCGCTCGAAAGAAAATGGATAGACCTGAAGCAGCAAGCCTGAAGGCTTTTGAGTTAAGGATTTCGGGTTTTGCAACAAGAATAGCGAGTTAACACAACGGCTTCATGGTTCGCAGATTAAGATAGTCTGCGGGCTCTCAGATACGGCAGTTTAGACATAAGTCTAGGATATCGGATTTAGGGCTTGAGACCTAGATCGTCCAAGAGAGCCCGAGACCTAAAACGCCCGACAAAACCCCGAACCCTCAGCAAAACCCGAGGCAGCTGCACACTACACCTCACGACCTCGGAAAACCAACCCACCTGCCAAGACCGGAAAACCCCTGAACGCCCAAGCCTTGCGCACTCGGACCTCGCAACCTCGGAGCCCCAACCACCTGCAATCCCTGAAGCATTGACAGAGTCCCCGACCAAGATGAAGAGGTCCGAACCTGAGCGATCCGGGCGGAGGGCACGGGAAAGAGGCACTTGGGACACGTGCACTAAGACCTAGGAGTTTTGAGTTTAAAGTCGAGTTTGTCATTTGAGTTCAAGGCTCGGGTCCAGGGTCAAGGGTTTCAGAGTCGAGGGTCTAAAGATCGAGCGGAGATTCAAGTGTATGAAAAATTCGAAATCAATGACTGACAACTCCGATCGATCCTTCCTGTTCAATTGGCCCAACCCTTGCAGAGCGATGGAGTTATCCACCGAGCCAAATTGCAAGGTTTCACATTAGGCATTTAAACGTCTGGGATGCAAAGTTTCGGATTGAAAGTTTCGGTTTTGAAGCTCAGGAGTAGAACTAGCGCTTGACTTCAGGAGTTGGAGCTTTGGATTGTGAGTTTTGGAGCTAAGGTCTCGACCTTACGATCTGGGTTCGGGTTTCGGATGTGGAGCTTTGGAATTAAGCCATCAGGTATTGGATTTAGGGTATAGGACCTAAGCAACCCAAAAGAGTTCAGGGCCACCACACCCGAGACAACGCGAAATCCTGAACAGGTACCCTGGGCGGCTGCACTCTAAACCTGACTGCCTCGGCAAACCAACCCACCTCGCAAGACTGAAACAACCCTGAACACCCAACCTCGCTACCTCGGAGCCCAAACCACCTGCAATCCCCGAAGCCTCGGCAAAGAGTGCCCGACCGGGATGAAGAGGTCCAGACCTGAGGCGAAGCGCAGAGGGGAGCTGAAGAAGGACTTAAAGGAGGGGCAAGACCGGGCACTGCCAGACACCCTCAGGCCAGCATAACGAAACCTCAAGCAAAACTACACTCCAACAGTCCCACGGCTGCACTCCGAGGTCCCGGCCGCACGCCGCTCGCTCCGACGGCCCGCGCCGCCCCACCGACCCCCGCTCCCACGGCTTGACCAAGAAAACGAGCAGCTCGGGCACAAGTTCAGCAAGGCTGCAAAACAACAGCGCAATTCTCACAGCGGATTTTAATGGAGGCCCTCAAAAAGACCCCCCAAAGCGCAGACATCAACAAAAGCATATGAGCGGGGAAAATCCTCGCAGGTTGAGAGTATGCCACAACACTTCCTGAGGTCCCTCCCTCCCTCACTCCCTCCCTCCCTCCCTCCCTCCCTACCCTCTCTCCTTTTCGGTGACCTAACGAGCCCTTTTAAGGGCATTCCAATGCAACTGAGAGCATCTGAGCATTCAAATGCCTTCGAAATCATGACAGAAGCCTGTCAGTACGAACATATTGATCCCGGGCATCCTACATCAACTTCGCGATGACGATCCTAGTAGCTACGTAACTACCACTGTTGCACGCCACCAATTTCGCGGCCGCCCCCCCCCCCCTCCCTTTCTTTCTCTCCCGCCAAGCTTCGTGTCAAATTTGGTAAAAGTCTTCGCGTTTGCTGTTGACACCGAGTACATACGTTTTCACGTGAACTTGTTTATGCGACTTGAAAGTCACAATGATGCTACTGTTATCTGCAACTTTTGCACTGAACCAATTTCGTGGCCGCCCCACCCCCCCCCCCCCGTAGCCTCAATTTAGGCGGTCAAAACGTCTCGCCCAAAAGTTTCGACTCGTCTACTCGTCCCTGCTCACGTGATCCTGGGCATCCTACATCAACTTCGCGATGACGATCCCAGTAACTACCACTGTTGCACGCCACCAATTTCGCGGCCGCCCCCCCCCCCTCCCTGTCTTTCTCTCCCGGCGTTTGCTGTTGACACCGAGTACACTGCAACTTTTGCACTGAACCAATTTCGTGGCCGCCCCCCCCCCTCCCCCCGGGGCCCCAGCCTCAGGACAGTCAAAACGTCTCGCTCAAAAGTTTCGGTCGAAACGTTTCGCAGCCCCCCAGCGAATCTGAAAACATGGTTCGCAAAAAAAAAACTTTCGTTCAAAACATTTCGTTCAAAACGTTTCGGTCAAAAAGTTTCGTTCAAAACGTTTCGTTCAAAACGTTTCGCCCAAAACGTTATTGGGACCCAAACCCTTAACAATTTCTATAAACCCTAAACCCTAAACCCTAAACCCTAAACCCTAAACCCTAAACCCTAAACCCTAAACCCTAAACCCTAAACCCTAAACCCTAAACCCTAAACCCTAAACCCTAAACCCTCAAGAAAGTGATAAATAGAAATTGCTTGTCCTTGTTTGTAGTCACCGCTACGGCCCAACATACCGATGAACAATTGAACAAGCCTCTTGATAAACCAATTTCCTTACAAGCTTGTAACCGCCGCTACGGCTTGTCCTTGTTTGTAATCATGGCTACGGCCCAACATACCGATTAAAAATTGCCAGGCACTTGAAATTTGCAGAGTCTGTACCATACAAAGATACGAAGTTCATGGGTGGACGTTGGCGTTACAAACTCACAGCGTCCTTGAAATTTGCAGTGTCTGTACCATACAAAGATACGAAGTTCATGGGTGGACGTTGGCGTTACAAAGTTACAGCGTCCTTGAAATTTGCAAGCTCTGAAGCATGACACATTCCAGGCCGGAAATGTGTCATCTTGTCCGCCTTACAGAAAGAAGCATTTTGCTCTTGTCTGCGAAGAAAAAAGAAGTTTTCTGCTTTGGCCAAATCCGAAATGCGGTCCTGAAGGGTTCAGGGACACCCTTCAGATCCTGAAGGGTTTAGGACAACCCTTCAGGTCCTGAAGGGTTCAGGGAAACCCTTCAGGTCCTGACGGGTTCAAGGAAACCCTTCAGATCTTGAAGGGCCATGCCCACAGACACAGGAGCCATTTACTTGATCAGCAAACTGGCCCACAGACACAGGAGCCATTTACTTGATCAGCAAACTGGCCCACAGACACAGGAGCCATTTACTTGATCAGCAAACTGGCCCACAGACACAGGAGCCATTTACTTGATCAGCAAACTGGCACACAGACACAGGAGCCATTTACTTGATCAGCAAACTGGCCCACAGACACAGGAGCCATTTACTTGATCAGCAAACTGGCCCACAGACACAGGAGCCATTTACTTGATCAGCAAACTGGCCCACAGACACAGGAGCCATTTAATTGATCAGCAAACTGGCCCACAGCACAGGAGCCATTTACTTGATCAGCAAACTGGCCCACAGACACAGGAGCCATTTACTTGATCAGCAAACTGGCCCACAGACACAGGAGCCATTTACTTGATCAGCAAACTGGCCCACAGACACAGGAGCCATTTACTTGATCAGCAAACTGGCCCACAGACACAGGAGCCATTTACTTGATCAGCAAACTGGCCCACAGACACAGGAGCCATTTACTTGATCAGCAAACTGGCCCACAGACACAGGAGCCATTTACTTGATCAGCAAACTGGCCCACAGACACAGGAGCCATTTACTTGATCAGCAAACTGGCCCACAGACGCAGCTCGAACTTCGGGTGGCAGGGGTGGGCAAGCGAGTGATCTTGTCTGCAAAGAGACAAGAACTGCTTCGGTATGGTTTGGTTTTGAAGAGTCCAAATCTGGCCAATCCAAAACGCACATCGGTGACGTCTATGTGCGTTTTGCTCTTGTCTGCAAAGAGACAAGAACTGCTTTGGTATGGTTTGGAAGTGAAGTGTCAAAATCTGGCCAATCCAAAACGCAACAGCGTCCTTGAAACTCGCAAGGTCTGTACCATACAAGGATACAGAGTTCATGGGTGGGCGTTGGCGTTACAACCTTACAGCGTCATTGAAATTTGCAGGGTCTGTACCATACAAAAATACGAATAAGTTCATGGGTGGACGTTGGAGTTACAAACTTACAGCGTCCTTGAAACTTGCAAGGTCGGCACCATACGAAGATACGGAGTTCATGGGTGGACCTTGGCGTTACAAACTTACAGCGTCCTTGAATTTTGCAAAGCCTGTACCATACAAAGATACGAAGTTCATGGGTGGACGTTGGCGTTGCAATCTTACAGCGTCCTTGCAATTTACAAGGTGTGTACCACACAAGGATACGAAGTTCATGGGTGGACGTTGGCGTCACAAACTTACAGCATCCTTGAATTTTGCAAAGTCTG